TTGGTCATTGTCCAACTCTCTGATGCATAACAAGTGATTGCAAAGACCATGGCCTGTATCAGATGCACCTTAGTCTCCAGAGAGACATCATTGCTCTTTAGTACTTTGGAGAGGTCCCTAATAGCAGACTTTCCCATGGCAATGCACCTTTTAATTTCCTGGCTGCTGGGGCCAAGAGTGTTGACTATGGAGCCAAGCAAACTAAAGTTGTTAACAATCTCAATCTCTTCACCATCCATCCTGATGCTGCCATTTGGCCCAGTGATGAGAATCTTTGTCTTCTTGACTTTGAGCCTCACTCCATATTGGAGGCTGCAGTCCTTGACCCTCTGTAGCAAGCGTTTCAGGTCCTCCTCAGTTTCAGCAAGTAGACTGTGTCATCTGCATAATGCAGATTGTTGATAGATCTTCCACATATTTTTTAATCCATTGTTGCAGACTGAGGGTAAAGTGTTTCTATCATTATTAATAATGAGATGGACAGTCAGGAATGAGATAGAACAGAAAGCATAAAACAGGGGGCCAGCAGTTCTCGACAGAAGACCCCAAGTTATGTTTCTCTCTGTCTTTGTTGAAAATTATCTGGAAGTAAATCACAACGAGAATTCAATGCAAATGAAGCCAAGCTCTTTCTATTGAAAACCTTCTGCTTGACTCAGGAGGGAGGGGTTAGCAAATGCAAGGATTGCCTTAGTGCCTCAAGGTGGACTCTAGCTTGTACCTCACCTCCCCATCATGATAGCATTTAGTTTATTACAAATATTTAGTATTGGCTTCCCATAATCCATGAAATTGTATTATAAGTTATTTTACAAAATTACTATGTTTTGTTTAGTTCTTAAAAATATTATACCAATTTATTTACAGAGTCTGAGTACATTGTGTTTCATACTGGATCTTTCCAATTTCCTTCACACACCCTCCCCCCCATCAAATTGTGTGACCTTATGATTAGATGAGTCAATAAGTGAGGGATAGGAGTAATACTTTAGCTTAACTAGTAACGAATGTCTGTTTTGAACACATTGCTTTTTAAAAGAACTGACAATATAATATCAAACTGACAATAGCAAAATTTAGAAAAAGGTAAAAATGGTGGTAGAACTTGAAGAATGTAAGCCCCCCACTTCATTCCACAATAGAAAAATGGGACATGTCTTTCTATATGAGTTATAGCCTGCAAAACCCCACTGGAGGGTCAGCTGAGTCAGTCCTGAATAAATGGCAGTGAATTTGAGGCAAAGGGTTCTTTTTAAATGGAATATATTTGGTTAAGTGAATCAATGCCTTAGAGTTGTGGTGCTGGAGATGTCACACCATGGATTGCCAAGAAAACAAATAAGTCTGTCTTGAAGAAGGAGAAACCAAGTTTCTCCTTGGAGGCTAGGATTTTGAAATTCCATCTCACATATTATGGATATGTAACCAGGAGGGACCCGTCCTTGGAGAAGGATATCATGCTCAGAAGTGTGGAGGGACAGCGCTGGAGAGGAAGACCCTGGGTAAGATGGATTCATATAGTAACTGGGGCAACAGGGGTTAGTGTGCCAGAGTCAGTGAGACTGGCCCAGGACAGGGCAGACTTCAGAGCTGCTGTACACAGGGTCACTATGAGTCACAGGTGACTCAATGGCACACAAAAGCATTTCCATATGCATCAGTGTCCACTCAGTGGCAGTGGGTTTGGCTTGGTTTTCATGCAACTTCCACTTGGTTGACATTTGCTTTGTATATAGGTTAATGTATTGACTTTCTATTTGTCTTAGGTTTCAGATGCAGTTCTATTAAATCACATAAAGTTCTGTACTTTTAAACCCAATCTTATAGCTAGCTATGGGATAAGTCTGCCTTGGTGGTGATGAACTTAAGTTTTATTATAATTGTCTTAAAAATTATACTTCTTGAGGTAAAAGGTAACTATGGAAACACATACAAATCAACATGCCTAAGACCCATAGTGAGAATGAAATTCCAAAGGACTATGAAAGGCAAAATGTAAAAAGGCATTAACTATTATTATAGTATAAAAAAAACAAGGATGTTGGAAGCAGAAATCCTTGAAATACAATTCTTTTTAACATAATAGATGTACTTTGGACTGATAGTGTAAAGAAGCAGAAATACGTTTTAAACTCTGGAATGAATCTAGAATTTTCTTAGTAAGTGTACAGCATGAGTAGAACGGCTGACATTCCCGTTTTTACTACCAAAATCCAATTCAAATGCATACAAACTAAGCATCTTCACTATTAGTAGAAAATGAAAAATCAGCTAAGGGCACCATGGAAATTCAAGACTCAATACATTGTTTTGTCCTTTGAAGATACTTTAATTTTGCAGTTACTGATTAATCAAAAAACACAGTTGGTTTCAGCATTTCCTAGCCACAGCAGTGCATAGGAAATTTTCATTCTAAACAAGAAGTAATTAATGAAGTAACAACACACCTTAACATTTTACATTGATAGGTTACAGTTTACAAGGTGCTTTCACATACATTATTTAAATTGATTCTTACAACAAGCAGAAGAGGAAAAAAATCTGTGGGAAAGAAAAACGAATTCTTTTTTGTCAGGCTTACGACAAGTATTTTCAGGCCAATGGGCAGTCAACACAAGAACATACCAAAAACAAGACAGCAATACCCACAAGCCACAGTATCTTTTGGTAGGCTGACAATTTGATATCAATTGGGTATTCAGCATCAGTGAATGCAGAAGGCTTGGAACAGACACAAATATTCTCACGAGAGTCAAAGAACTGTAAAAACACGGTCAGAGATACAGAGAAGAAAGATGCCCTAAAATATTGCCTTATCAAGACCTACTTCAAATTATGTTATCCCTTCAAAATATTAAATAAATAAAAAAAGAATCTTGTCATAACATGTGAAAGCTGGAAGGAACCTTACAAACTGCCTAATCCAACTCTTCCATTTTACAGTGAAGGTCTGTGACGCTGATGGTGACACTCCAGGCCAGTAATGTGCACGTCTTGGCTTTCAAGCTAGGGCTCCTCCTCTGCACTGCACTCTCCTTACCATTTACGGCATAAGAGTGTAATGCTTTCTCTTTTCAATATGTAATCTAAGATTAAATACTGATTCATGCCATTTTTTTTTATTCAAGCCTTTTCTATGGTCTTGGTTAAACTGTGGCTTAACAGTTTTATACAGTTTAAAAATATTGTATTTCCATGTAGATGACTTGTTGGAAATAGGCTCCCTTGACATAAGTGAAAGCTTGCTAACACCCTTTAGAATAAAGTGGAATGACTGAATAACCATCAAAACCTATGTACGCCTAAGGGTCAATTCTCAGATTAGAATACTTAGGGTTGAATTACTTGGGTGAATCCTACAAGATGTTGTGCTGGGCACTAGCAATTTTGTAGAAAAAAATATTTTTAGAATTCATAGAAATCTTTTCAATTACTGAAAACTAAGATGTAATAATCAAATTGTCATCCTCATGATTTATTAAAATAATTTTACAATCATATATAACCAAGCTACCATAGACTGTACAGCATACAGCTAGAATACAACGATCAGCATGTTTCTGGGGCTAAAT